TAGTCCCAGCTACTCGGGAGGCTGAGGCAGGAGAATGGCGTGAACCTGGGAGGCGGAGCTTGCAGTGAGCTGAGATCCAGCCACTGCACTCCAGCATGGGCGACAGAGCAAGACTCTGTCTCAAAAAAAAAAGAAAAAAAAACTGGAATGTCCAAGATGAAGACGTCATTTTTTTCCTACACTCCCAGTACCCACTGACTCCCTGTTTATCCTACACGTCTAATGAAATGGACCACGTCTGTCTTCCTCAGTTCCATTTCTCACCTCTTCCTCCTCCCCTCCGTTACTGAGCCCTCATGCATGTGGCTCTCACCAGCACCTCTGTAACCTGCAGAGTACTGCTGTGCTCCCAAGCCCCGACCCTCTCTTCTTTTTGAAACTGTCATCAGATTAATCTTCCTAGACCACCACTTTCACCCGAGCCTCCCCTGCTATGAGTAAGCAGTGCGTCCCCACAATTTAAATGCTCAGGGCTCGCTCCTGGCATCGCTGTCCATGGCCTCCCACCAGACCCCTCCTAGTTCCCCAGTGTTTTTGCTGTACCCCGACCCTCTGCCGGGTGGCCACTGACCTTCAAGGCCTCTCTCCTAAGCTCTGTTCCACCAACCCCCCTGCCTGAAATGCCCTCCCTTCCGTACTCCACCCGTATATCCAGAATCTTCCCATCCTTTAAGACTAAACTCAAACAACCCAGCTTTTGTTGAAACTATGCCGAGCAGAATAACCCATTTGTGAGGTTGCACCTCCCACTCAGCACGCATATTTTCTGGTCTGCTCATCTGGCGTGGAATCTTATCTTTAGGGTACGTTTTATGCCGTTGCCTTTTTCATTTGACTTCTCTTTTCTTAACTTCTATTTCGTTTTCAATTAATTATAAATTCCTTGAAGATGAAAACTGTGGGGTGTAAAAGATCGTCCTTCCTTCCCCAACTCCACCAGGCAGTGGAGGGAAAGTACATCAGAACTGTTTGTGGAATGGACACATCAATGTGTCTTTGTTGCAATTTGATGACTTTGAGATAAAGGGAGTTGGACTGCAGGGACAAGGAAGGAGGCGTAATTTCGGGAGAAAAAAAGTAAATGATACTACTGCCTTTTCCCATTTTCATCTTTACATTGTAGGGATGTGCTTTCCAGAAAAGGAGAGATCTTGGGGAAAGGATTGAAAGCTTCAGGAGAAATTCAGGCCAACAGGAGACACCACGCTCTCAGGAGAGGCTTGAGTTACACGCTCAGCACTGCCCTTCCCTCACGCCGTAACTTTGAGCAAAGCATTTAGCCCTGCCTGTGTCTCTTTAACTATAAAGGAGAAACAATAATACCTACCAAAGACATTTTCAGAAGAATGCAGTATCCTTGGGTGAATGGCACTGCACTAAGTGATGCTACAATGCTATGTTTTCAGCATCTTTAATATCATGTGCTCTTGGCCCGGCGCCATGGCTCACGCCTGTAATCCCAGCACTTTGGGAGGCCGAGGAGGGTGAATCACAAGGTCAGGAGTTTGAGACTAGCCTGGGAAACACGGTGAAACCCCATCTCTACTAAAAATACAAAAAATTAATTGGGCTTGGTGATGTGGACTCAGCTACCTGGGAGGCTGAGGCAGGAGAATCGCTTGAACCTGGGAGGCAGAGGTTGCAGTGAGCTGAGATCGTGCCACTGCACTCCAGCCTGGATGACAGCATGAGACTCCATCTCAAAAAAAAAAAAAAAAATGTTATCTTGATGATTACATTTTGGCTGGTACAGCGACAAAATGTGGACATTATTTCATCAGTGTGGTGTGTAATAATGTCAAAACCCAGCTTGAGGACCCAGGTGTGTACTGCTAAATAAATATCAGGCACCAAGTACTCATAAGAAGCAGGAGGAGAAGGCAGGCATTTGGGGGAAACCTCTCAGTCCAGGTGGGTCACAGCTGGGAAGGGTTGCTTGACTTCCTCAATAGCTTTTAGGACCCAGCACTGGGCAAGCTCAGGAGCAGAATGAGAGAGGTTTGGGAGCATTTCATCTCATTTGCACATCTCTGCCTAAGAATTCATTATTGCTTTCACTTATAATGGTAGATATTTTTTGGTTGACTTCGACATGTTCCCATTTTTTTATTTTTAAAAATCCACTTTGCCTGCTGTTTTCCTGATTTTCTTACTCAGCATCACGTTCCACTTGCTTTCCATTCGCTTTCTGGGAGGGGACTCCCATAGGAAGCTGGGAAAGATCACCTGGTGAGACCCCACACGCTCCACGTTTCCCAGCAGAAAGGCTCTGCCCAGCAGCCTTTCTAACACCAAGGGAAACCGACAGCGTTCTTGTCCTCAGAGGTTTAGGATGGGGCCCTACCTGGGATCTCTCAAACACGAGCCCTAATAAGTGGGCAAACGATTGCCCCTGCAGAAAAGAGTCAAGTCCAAAGCAATTACTTTAAACTTTGTCCATACTCAACACTATTTTCCAACAGCCCATGGGCTGAATCCTATGTGGCCTGTTAAAAAACAGCAGCCGCCAGCCCACAGGGGAGCTCTGAGGTTGCTTCATAGCTTGTGCTTTGTCCCTACTTGACCTGCTCTTCAGAGTGGTCACATGGTAGCCCCTCCCTGCTGGTCTCTTCTCAGTCTTTTCTGCTCCCTCCAAAATCACCCCTCGCAGTCCCTCAAACCCTCTACAGCCAGAAGGCCCAGGACTCTTGTGTATTAGTGTGTCTGCCTTTTTCCTCCAAGTCTTTCTTCCTACCTCTGCCCTTTAAGGCTAATCATTACTCACAGAAAGGTTCATTTGCTTACTCATTTTGCACTCTTGCTTTTCTCCAAACAAGTGGCATTTTGTCATACTCAGCTGCTATACTCTCTAATTGCCGGCATTTGAATTATTTGCTATTCAAAAGCCAAGAAATTGTTACTGCTGATAGGATACTGATTTGCTCACTGATTGTGTTAAGGTTAGACCCATTTCCCCGCATACTCTTGGCTCCAGGGATATCAGTGGCCGACTCGACTACATTTAACACTGCACAGCACCTGTGGGAACTGGCCCTCCTGAACGGCAGAACTTGTGACCCACAGATGCTGTCTTCTCTCTGGTGTTGATTACTCCTTCCTCTTTTCACTGAGGAAATCGTCCTGCCTCCGTCAGGCTGCCTACTTTTAAAACTCTGCCTGAGGGGTGCATGATGGGCTCTGGGCCAGCTAGGAGAGATTGCAGTGGATCCCGAAGGACAGGACAGTGAGGACTTGGCCTGAGTCGGGCGAGGGAGTGATTAGATTCCACTCCGGTTTCACGGGAAGGCTCACAGGAGTCTAGTTACAGTCTGCAGGTAGGGTAAGAGAGAAAAGGACTGGCCCAGCACTTTAGGGCCTGAGTAACTGGATGAATCATGAATTTACTGAGACAGAGAACTGTGGGAGAGGTCTGATTTGGGGGGAACAGCCAGTGTTCAGGTTACACAGGAGATGCCGATTGAGAGGTGGACAGGCAGGCAGACACAAGCGTGTGGCAATGGTGGCCCAGGTCTGGGCTGGAGAGGAGCAGTTGGGAGTCTCAGGCTAGATCACGGGGTGACCTAGGGCCATGGGGTAGGGCCAGATGGGTCACCCAAGGAGGGAAGATTGAGAGGAGGCCAGAACCTGAGAGTGCTCTGATGCTTGCAGGGGAGGAAGGTGAGGGAAATCCAATACAGGTGCCTGAGAAGGAGCAGCCAGGGAGTTAGGGAGAAGAAGAATGTGGCCCCTTAGAGTATAAGTGAAGAAAGTTTCCACACAGAGGAAGTGATTAGCGGTCAGCAGTACCCATAGAGGGGTCTGTGGTGGCACTTCCCACGCTGTGGTTAGTGCCTGGTGGGACTGTGTGTCCTTCACCACCATAGTGCTGGTGCAGAGGGCAGCATCTGAGCCATGTGAAGTCCTCAGCGGATAACCTCTGGGCAGATAGCCAGATGGCCAGATGGACATGAGGACTAAACTCTGACTTTTTTTTAAATTCTCTTGCCCAAATTCCTACCTAAGGGGCCTGGGGAGCTCACCCTACAAACCGTAAAGTCTTGCCAGAGGGGTTTTATTCAACCTTGTATAACATGGCCTGCTTTCTAGCCTGGCTCTGGCATGACATCACATAACGAATAAGGAAAGAAATCAAAATATTTTAACCCCAAATAGATTTCCGTTTCATATTTTGAAATTGCCCTGCAGAGTTGTCTCTTGTGAGAAAAATCTACGTTCTACAGAGACTCCCCTTTTCCCTTTTTTTATTCTTTCCAGATCCAGAAGATAATCAACTAAGAGTCAGGCAACCTTTATTTTTTTTAATACATAAATACTTTAAGTTCTGGGATACATATGCAGAATGTGCACGTTTGTTACATAGGTATACATGTGGCATGGTGGTTTGTTGTACCCATCAACCCGCCACCTACATTAGGTATTTCTCCTAATGTTATCCCTCCCCTAGTCCCCCACCCCCTGACAGGTCCCAGTGTGTGATGTTCCCCTCCATATGTCCATGTGTTCTCATTGTTCAACTCCCACTTGTGAGTGAGAACATGTGGTGTTTGGTTTTCTGTTCCTGTGTTAGTTTGCTGAGAACGATGGTTTTCAGCTTCATCCATGTCCCTGCAAAGGACATGAACTCATCCTTTTTTATGGCTGCATAGTATTTCATGGGGTATATGAAGGCACCCTTTTAAATTCTGTAAGACACAATGCACAACCTCTTCTCTTCACAGCCTATTAGCTAAAAGCTTCCTCTGCACAATAAAACTTTGGTCTCCACAATCCTTTCTCTTAGTCCAAACATTTCCTTTCTATTGATCCTAGGTTAGATAAACTTAACCAATTATCAACCAGAAAATTTTTAAATTTACCTCTAACCCAGAAGCTCCACTTTGACTTGTCCTGCCTTTCTGAACCAAACCAATGTACATCTTAAAAGTGTTTGATGTCTCATGTGTCTCAAAATTGTATAAAACCAACCACCTTGGGCACATGTTTTCAGGACCTGCTGAGGCTGTCTCATGGGGGGCCATAGTTATTCACACTTGGCTCAGAATAAATCCCTTCAAAATATTTTAGAGTTTGACTCTTTTTGTCAGCAGACAGACAGACGTCTTCTGGGTGTGTGCACCTGTGTGGAACTCCAGGGGATGCATACGGGTCACCTGCTTTGTCACTGATCAATAATATTGATCACCATGCTTTTGATCTTCTCTCCTCCTGGATGGCAGGAATGAGATCATCTTTCTTTCCCCGTGAATTCCCCCAGCACCTGGGAGGGTCCTGAGCATGAGTGTGACTTCAGCAGTTTTGTGATGTTGCCTGATTTGTGCTTTTTCTTGTTTGCTCTCTCCTCTCCGACAAACAGCTTTACATTCAGCCCATGATGGGGGCCGGCCTGAATTATGAATGTTACCGATTCGGCATTTCCCCTTCCACAAATGCGCTGGTGATCGGTGCCACGGTGATGGAGGGCTTCTACGTCATCTTCGACAGAGCCCGGAAGAGGGTGGGCTTCGCAGCGAGCCCCTGTGCAGGTGAGCGATTCTAGCAGTGAACAGGGATCCCCAAAAAGATCCTTTATGTAAATGTCCTGACTTGGAAGCAGTTCTTGATGGCAAATCAATTACCATTGAATTGTTTCACTCATTCCTATCACCAGTGATCAAAATCTTCTCAATAAAATGGATCATGGGATTGCTGAGAGAATTAGATGACATCATCCATGTGAAACTTCAGTGCTTGGCACATGGGAAATGCTTACTGAGTGTGAGTCCTGATAGTCACTAGGAGTAAAAATACGCCATGGAGCTTTGGAGTTGAATTGCAATTTTTCGACAGTTAAAGCAAAATGAGTAAGGAAGAAATTTCACATATAAGCTGTGTACATTAATTTGTCCTTAAAGCTGTCCTCATTTTGAAATAGGAAATGAACACCTATCACTGCGATTTCTTGAAATCCTAACATAATGAGACCAAGGAGCCCCTGTTTGTCGTGGGATTCCTTTGAAAGATGTGTGAGGGCGGCCCGCAGCATGACTCTGCAGTCTAGCTGGAGGGTTGGCAGGTCTTCAGAGAAACCAGGAGAGCACGAGAAAGTCAAGAGGATAGAGAAACCCCATAAGCTTGAAAATGTCTTCAGATTTCACAGTTTGCTTGAAACGGAGTGCTCACACCGCACACAGCTTAATGGGAGGACTGGGTATTTCTGACTGACAGTTCAAGCCTGCGAGGCAGAGGCAAATCACAGAAGTGGGCATGAGATTGAATTGCTGGAGACAAGTGGAGGAAGAGCCTGAATCAGAAAAGTGGCCAGGAGAATTGCAGCCTTTCAAAATAAGATGTCAAGGGACTGGAAAAAGTAAATAAATAAATAAATTGGTACATTGGATTTGAAGTCAGGAGCAGAATGGAATTCCAAAGTTGTGCTGGTGATATGTGAAAGGAGAGAAAAATTAAGTGTGAGGTCAAACAAGAATCAATGACAAGGAGGTAGAATAGAAGAAAACTTGGGAATCGATACAGAAATACAAGATTACCATGTGGTTGAAGGAAAGGGGGTTTTGTAGGAATTTGATGGATATGAGATACTGTTGGAGGACAGGTGAGAGTGCTGGGCCATCCTGGGAGCCTCAACTCAGACCTTCCCTCTGATCTCAATCCAGGTGTAGAGCTGCCAGGATGAGGTGCACAGGCCAAATGCCAAGTGATCACAGCTGAATTATTCTGGTCAGGAGAGATTTCAGTTACTATTTTTTAATGTCTAAAACATGGTCTTAAAACAGGACTCCTGGTAAATAAAGCAGATAAGGGATGCTTCATTAACTGGCTTTAGCAGAGTGGCATTTCAGAAAAGTAAAGTAACAATTGAGAGAATAGAAATATTAAAAGGAAAGATTGCACATGGACTATTAGGCCAATTCATATTCTATATAAATAAAATCATCCCAACCAGTGTATGTATATGACACATCGTGACATGTCTTCATAAATATCCACGCCGACGTATCTCACTTTGCATTTGTGAGCAGACTTGGAACCCTTCCCATTGTCATGTTTTTTATCTTTGCTATGAGTAAATGTTTACGTTTTGCGTGTGCAGTAACTCTTTCAGCCTGTTCAGTTATCATTGAGTGAGACCTTTCTCTGTGGCAGCAAGCGGGACTGAAATATCACTGAATTTCCCAACTGTGACTATTCTACTTCTTTTTAACCAAGGGAATCTAAGAACTTAAGCAATTTTGCCCACAATTTCTGTTCTCTCGTTAAATATCATTAAAGTAAAGGCTACTATGGCAACAGCTGTTAGAGTGTCCACTTAATACTGCAGAGTCTAATAACCATTTGTTTACTAAGTGAATTACTGTTGAAAAGGGTGTAATATTAGGAGTCTCTAGGCAGGGCAACTTTTTTTGCCTGAATTTCACTGTGAGTTATTTGCTAGATGCTCTTATATACACTTTTTCTTCCTTTTAAAAAAATGTATTTGACGTTTTGGTACTTAAATGTTAGATTCTACCAGCCGTGGGAAAATACGCTTATATATGTCTCCTCTTCCATGTGGATTGTTTAGCCATTAAAGTAATTACTTTCCTCAGGGCTGCAATTAAAGGCCCCAGACAGTGCTCGACAGAACCCTAATAAATGGAATAGCTATACTGCCTTTCTTTTTTTAAGTGTTTATTTTTCATTATGGAATGTCTAAGTAACAAAAAAACCTTCAGTTACAGAAAATCATATACTATGTGCATTTATGGAATATCTAGATTTAATATCTTGTCATATTTTCTTTAAAATTTGTCTTAGACATAAAAAACCAAGTATAACTAAAGTCTCAGCCCACCCCCTTCCCCAGCATTACTCATTATCCTGAGATTAGTGTATATTCTTATCTGAATTACTATATACTTATAATTTTACTAGATGGGCATGAACACCTTGTATTAATTAGCTGTTGCTATGTAACAACTTAGCCCCAATGTCACAACTCTCTATCACATTCTGCAGTTTCTTTCTTTTCTTTTCTTTCTTTTTTTTCTTTTTTTTTTTTTTTTGAGACAGGGTCTTGCTCTGTCACTCAGGCTAGAGTATAGTGCAATGGCATGATCAGGGCTCACTTTAGCCTCAACCTCCCTGGTTCAGGTGATCCTCTGACCTTAACCTCCTGAGTAGCTGGGACTACAGGTGTGCACCACTGCCCCAGATAATTTTTTGTGTTTTCTGTAGAGGGGGTTTTGCCATGTTGACCAGGCTGGTCTCCAGCTCCCAGGCTCAAGTGATCGACTGCCCTGCCATGGCCTCCCAAAGTGCTAGGTTTACAAGCATGTGCCACCACACCCAGCCTGGCTTTGTTTTTTGTTTTGTTTTTAAAAGACAGGGTCTCACTCTGTTACCAGGCTGGAGTGCAGTGGCATGATCTTGGCTCAGTGCAACCTTCTCCCAGGCTCAAGCGATCCTCCCACCTCAGCCTCCCAAGTACCTGGGACTACAGGCATGTGTAGTCCAGGCACCATGCCCAGAACATTTTTGGTATTTTCTGTAGAGACGGGGTTTCGACATGTTCCCCAGGCTGGTCTTGAACCCTTGGGCTCAAGCGATCCTCCCACCTTGGCATCTCAAAGTACTGGGATTACAGGCGTCAGCCACCATGCCTGGCCATCTCGTGGAGTTTCTGAGGGCCAGGAATTGGTGAGGGGCTTAGCTAGGTGTCTCTGGCCCACCACTGCTTATGAGGCTACAGCTGTCTGAAGTCTATTGTAGGAGCTAGTTCCAAGCTTGCTGTCGTGGTGGCAGGAGCCACGCTTCCCTCACCATTTGTACCTCACCCCAGGACTGCCTGATGTCCTCTGGTCAACCCTGAGCAAGTGATCCAAGAGAGCATGACAGAGCACCCAGGACAGAAACCCCAGGTTTTCATCACCTAATCTTGGAAGCAGCATGTTCTCACTTCTACCCTACTCTGTTGGTCACACAGAATGACCCTGATATGATGTGGGAGGGGACGACGCAGGTAAATGCAAGGAGGCAGGGGTCATTCGCAGTCATCTTGGAAACGTCCTACCATATACTTATCACAAAGCCTAGGTTGGTTGATTTGTTTGTTTGGTTTGGTTTTTTTTTAATTTATAGGAATGCTGTGGTAGTGTGTATTGTTTGTCAACTTGACTTTATTGTTTGACATTACATTTTATAGATTTTCCATATTGATATGACTTCTAGGTTATTTGTTTTGACTGCGTAGTATCTCGGTTTATGAATGTACCCAGATTACCCATTTTTATCTTAATTAACATTTGGATTATTTATGTATTGGCAATTATAAACAGTACTGCAGTGAACATCTTTGTGTAGGTGAATGAGATCATCTAGATACGGAATTTCTAAATGATTTAATATGTAACTCTTCAGTGTTATTGGCTGCGGTCAAATTTTTCTTTAAAGTAGCTGGAACATCAGCCTTATATGAGAATTTCCATTCCTTAAAAGCATTACTATATTTGTTTTGTCTTTGTGTTTTGCTAATCCATGTATGTGCAATAGTGTCACATTTTAGTTGATTATTTTCAAGATCACACAACTTTGGATATGTTTTGGGATGTTTGAGCTTCTTTGAGGGTGAATTTTTCTAATAGAGTGCACACATTTTTCTGCCCATATTTTTTACTGATAGACATGAGTTCCTTATATTTCTGAGATATTAATTTTTCTGAGTTATACTAACTAGTCTCCCTGACTTTTCTTTTTACTTTGTTTTGGTGCCTTTTATTTATATGTGTCTTTAATTTAGTGAAATCAAATTTACCAGTATTTCTCTCATGAATTATGCCATGTGCCTTATTTAAGAAATACTTCCTTAATCCAACAAAATAGGGATTTTTTTCTTCTAAATATATTGTATACTTTTTTCTTATTTTCTTCCAAAATGTGAATTAGGAAATTAATTTTTATAAGGACATTCCATTTTCTCAGCATCCTTATTGAATATATAATGTTTTCCCCTCTGATTTTTCCAATTTTTTATGAAAAAAAAATATACAGAAAAGACTAAAAACAATATCATGCTGTTCTGCATACCAACCATCTAGATTTAGTAACTTTTAACATTTTGCCATATATCAGTATGTGTGTATAGGTGAGTATGTAGCTTTTGCTGAACCATTTGCAAATAAGTTGCAGATATCATGACTTTCATCCCTAAATATTTCATTATGCATCTTAAAAATAAAGACATCCTCCTATATAACCACAATACCATAATCACACCTAAAAAATTAATAGTATTTGCTAAATATCATGACTGTGTTGGCCACATGCAGATTTCCCCAGGTATCCCCAAAATGTTTTCATTAGCTGTTTTGCTTTTTATTTTGTTTCGGAAGGCCAGTTCTCTTATAGAATGTATCATATTCAGTTTTATCTGTTTCCTAATGATATACTGCATTGATTTTACTTCATATTTCCTTGAACTTAAGTCTAGAGTCTTAATTAGACTTCAGTTAAATGTTTTTTGCAAGGTATCTAATGAATTTTAATAGCA